CTTGAACCCGATGGACTTCTTTGTGTGGAATATGCTAGAGAAGTCTGAAGGGAAGGAAAATCACAAGTCTGTAGTGTCGTGCCTGCCGACAATTTGAAAGGTGCCTGGACAAAAATTGATGCTGATTTGCATCAGGGCCGGAGGAGACTATTTCGAACAATATAGATATCAAATTCAAGCTTGTTTTGTGACAGCGACATAATAAAAATCAATATTTATCGTTTGATGACAGAATTACATTTGTGGATGTAAAGCCCATAGTCTGGCTGTCACCAACTTAAAACTCCAATTTAGCTCTATGCAAGTCTTCAAAAACTAGCAGGTAAAGTGCATTGGCTTACTCTCCATCTGAGGTTATCACCTGCCAAGTTTGGTGGCTTTTGCTAAAAAATGGACCAAAAAATTTACGAATTTCTTTTCGACTGCAATTTCATGGATTATTGCCTTCAAAATTGCTGTTTTGACTTGATTCGGAGGTAACAAGGTTGAGCAACCCATATCTATCTCCTTCTAGAATCTAAATACTTGTAGGATGTTATAACACACTTATTATATGCTATTTGGTGTCCATCTGGCATTAATAATCGCGCCTCTTGACATACACCCCTTTTTGGCCACCCTGAAGATTCTTAAAATTTGAAGAAACTTCTCGTAGAAAAATTCATGAAATTGTAAGTTCATATTAGCCTATCATCAACTACATAAACAGCGCTTGCAATATTCTCTACATTAAAGTTTGAGTTAGGATTTCTCATAGTAGGGGTTAAATGCTTGACGGCAACACAAATTGCTGCGCTCGTTAGTTATGTTTAAATACAGTTGTAGCGGTAGAATTTGTCCAAAACTGCGGGATTGTCGGGATTCGCGGGATTTGTGGGATTCGCGACTTCACGGTATTTGCGGGATAAGCGGGATTCAGCTGTAGCTTCTTCTAGAACAACTTTATATGAAATTTGCAAGAAGAATCGGCTTCAGCTTGATACGAATTTTTTGGTATACGGTATGTCCGTAATTCATGGTGACATGGTAGACATATGGTGACACTTTGTTATTTTCTATGGTGAACTTTGTGAACGTTTATCACAGCATAAGTCGCGAATGGCAGGTTCTAGTACGAAGTTCTCGTTATCGAAAACTATCGCGAAAAACTGGGCACTTTTTATTTGCCCTTATCACTGATATAAGCATTTTATCATTTATCACTGATAATATCACATTTTTGGTTCGTTTTTGGCATATGGTAAAAAAGTATTGTAGGAAACGCTGTGTGAACTTCTATCACTCTTTCTCTCATTATAAGTGACCTACAGGCTTCTCTAGTTCTATTGCTCGGTGCAATTGGTAGATTCCTCGCTGCAGCAATTGATCGATTTCTCATCGGCACATGCCATTGATGCCCATTCTTACCTAAAATGGAATTTTTGCTTCAACTCGCTTCACCCGAAGCCTGGGCTGAAATTCTGCATCTATATGGAAGATAAACGTGGGAATCGATGGCGTAAATCTGAGCCATTCTTATCTGTCGTTGTCATTGATATCATCATTTTATCATTTATCACAGATGATATCACAAAATTGGATCATTTTTGACATACAGTAAGAAATGTGCTTTAGAAAACGCTGTGCGAATTTTTATCGCTCTATCTCTTTCAGAATGTGATCTACAGGCTTTTTCGGTTCAACCGCGCATGCGGTGCAGTAGATAGATCCCTCACTGCAGCAGTCGATTGACTGCTCATCGTGCACATGACACCGTCTCCTTGGAGACGTTGCTCAATCAGAAAAATTCACCGCATTATAAATTGTGAATGAACCGAGTCGCCTGTCAACAGGAATTTTAAGATAAGCTAATTACTTCTGTTTTCTGCTTATGGACATACAAATCCAGATCCACAAAGGCGATCGGTCTAAGGTGCGAAACGGTGCAAACGGCGTGCTCAAGCATCTTTCCATCCTTTCCAAAGTTGGAAAATGCGGTTTGTACGGCTTCTCGCTCCTGTTCAACATGTTCATAGTGAAGGATAGTAGGAATACTTACGGGTAGGTACACAACGTGAAATCCAGGTATCTGGAGTTTCGAAATATGAAGCTTTCCTTAAAGCTGCGATCCCCTGCCCGCAGCGATGTTAATGCATGCTGCCCTCAGCCTACAGCTCCCTTACCATATCTCTGCTAGAAGACCTTGTACTCCGTTAAAGACCACGGTTTTCGTAACAGCGTGTCCGAAAACCTTTTGCGAGTTATCTGACTTGCTGATTACGAAAATACTCTTGCTTAGCAGGAAAGTTTCATATTTTAGAGTCAGCTGAGTAGAATTGGGGACAACATGGTTTTTCCAAAATTCACCAGCTTTTCTATCTCTTGTGAAAAACCGTCTCCGGCTACTTTTTGAAACACGATAATATACGGAAACAGCACCAGCGAATGGTGCTTACTGGAATCTTTTATGTGTATGTGCGCTGCATTTCATCCTTGCAAAAAGGCGTCCGCAGACAAATTGGAGAAAACTGAAAACGAGATATCGAGGACATGCTCTACATGAGAAGATTTGACTTGATGAGCTGAACAAAACGCTTCTTTCGGATTTAGAATATATTCATTCCTAAGGAAGTTATGGCGCTACGTAGTTTGCATGATTCGCGTGATTCCGCGGAAATTTCGGAATGTCGCAAAACTCCCAGAACGTTGCGGATTTTGCAAAACCCCGGAATTTCACGATATAGAAAGAAAATCTGCACTTTTTGTGAGCTATTGTAGATAGCAAATAGAGTAGAGCATAGGAGAATTCAAAAAGACTTCGATAAGGAGGCAAGCAACCGCCTCTGTACGCCATCATTCGCGGGCGTGTGGACTCTGATGGAAAGATGCTCGAGCACGCCATTTGCGCCGTCTCGCACCTTAGACCGATCGCCTTCGTGGATCTGAATTTGTATGTCCATACGCAGAAAACAGAAGTGTTTAGCTCATCTTGAAACTCCTGTTGACAGGCGACTCGGTTCATTCACAATTTATAGAGCGGTGAATTTTTTCTGAAAGAGCAATGTCTCCAAGGAGACGGTGTCGTGTGCATGATGAGCAGTCAATCGACTGCTGCAGTGAGGGATCTATCTACTGCACCGCATGCGCAATTGAACCGAAAAAGCCTGTAGATTACATTCTAAAAGGGATAGAGCGATAAAAATTCGCACAGCGTTTTCTAAAGTCATTCCTTACTGTATGTAAAAAATGATCCAATTTTGTGATATCATGTGATAAATGATAAAATGATGATATCAATGACAACGACGTATAAGAATGGCTCAAATTTACGCCGTCGATTCCCATGTTTATCTTCCATATAGATGCAGAATTTCAGCCCAGGCTTCGGCGTGAAGCCAGTTGAAGCAAAAATGCCATTCTAGGTAAGAATGGGCAGCGATGGCATGTGCCGATCAGGGCCCGGCACGAGTCGGTTTCTGTGTTTCTGAAAACGAAGTCTCTCCTGACTTTCGGAAATTGAGTCGCCTTCGACCTATTTGCTTAGGAGAATGAAAACAAGAAAGACTTACTAGTTTGAAAGAAAAAACGTAAGATAAGACTAAAAATGCAAATTGGAGCTGAATACTACGCATGCACAAGAGTTTGGAATTGGAGCGCGATATTTTACAAAGCGATATATGAAGAAATGAAAGCAAAGAACAAAGGAAAGGCGATGATATAAAAATGTCTTCATGCTCAGGGTTAGATTTTTGACCGAGGAATCCGTCCATGATAGAATAATCTAAAACTTATGTGAAGTGACAAAAATATATGCTCCAGACGATCTCAGATCGTCTGGTGGCCGTCTGGAGACGATCTAATTTTGGAAAACATGTTACTTCACATAAGTTTTCAAACCTCTTTACGTAATTCTTTTGCAAATAATTTTCTATGTATACAGTCCAGTTTTGGTGTCATATGGTTCTTGCGCTGTAAACAAGCAATTTGTTTATTTTAGCCATGCTTTCAGATCGCGCGCACTTTTTGCCATACACTATAGAGCATCTCGATCGTGTGATAACCTGTCTGGAAATCTTGTATTCGACTAAGTGGCGCTTATTCTTGGTGCTGCGCCCCAAATCGTCAACGGTATGTCCTTTGTTTGCTCCAAAAACGAAGTCCAGGCTGCTTCCAGACGATCTATGCCGAGCCCTGACACTGCCTCCGGTCACAAAACTTGCCACAATCAAGAAAGTAGACAAAACTCTTCAAGCGTAGACGCACATCGGCTAATCACTTCAAGTTCAAATAACTATGAACCATCTCAAGCTCACAACTACACACACAATGGACAAGTGCGAACATCGTCTACAAGTCAAGGATGCTACTTGTGCCTTAGAGCCAGGATAGACCTGAACTGCCATAGCAGTGAGACAGACACAACAGCGGATATCTTGTGTGCTGTACAAACTCCAAATAGCATCCTGTTCCAAACAAAGTAAAATGAACACTCTCATATTCCATTTCGACCAATCTAAAATTTCAATCAACTGCACAGTCGTCTGCTCGGAAGGGGATTCCACATTTATACTGCATACTCGACTAGCTAATGATCAACAACTACAAATGGAAAAGGATATAGAAGACGAGAAACAGACGAAGCAAAGTTCTCCAGGACATATACGAAAAAACAAGAAGCTGGATATCAAATTTCTTGGCAAAATTTACCTTTTTAACCTACTTATTTATCGCTTGCGTTATAATTTCTCTCTTATTCTTTGTGCCCATCGCTCTATTCTAAAGGTCATCCGAATACAAAAAGTATCAACTGTTTGATGGGGAGTTTATTTGTGCTATAATTTTGAATTCTTCATAGCAATGAAATGATTGACTTAACAAATGTCAAGAAGTGATTCGTATCATTGAAGTGCATTTTGTTATGTCTAATGCCTGAGTTAATTGCGAATTCCTCCTAAATGAAACAGTAAATTAACAATTTTCGCTGATATAAAAGGACTGTCATTTGTTGATCTTTGGATTTCCCCCAATAAAGAATTCCACTCGTCTCTTCGCAACAACAGCAGTTTTGCATTTTTCTACAGACATCACCATCGGTGCTACCCTCTTCAACGCGACATGGAAGCGCTATCGCGCCCGAGCTTTGAGAGGTTTCATTCTTATAATCAACTAATCCACGCTTTACAACAATGCTTAAAGGCAGCGTACACCCAAAATCTAAGTTACTTAATTTTCTAGATCTTTTCTATACCGTGTATATACTGGGTCCAGAAAAAGACCAAATGCGTTGGTCCGGTCTCCCAATGTTGCTTCTGAGCGGAGAAAGCCCCCCTCAATTTTCTTTCACTCCGCCCCTTTTCTTTCACTCCGCCTCCTCCGGATGAATCCACGACAGCGTAAGCTGCAGTTGCAGTTGCAGTTTCAGTTGCAACTGCTGTTGCCTGCAACTCCAATGGTGTAGTTGCTTTTTGCAGTCCGCCTCCTCCGGACGACGAACCACGACATCATATGCAGCAGTTGCAGCTGCAACTACAGGCTGTCATGCAACTGCTGGCATGCCGACGGGGACGGGCAGTTCGAAACTCGTCCGCCCCCTGAAGAGAGGGTCCCCGGAAATTGGGGTTTTTTGGGACTTTTGGGGGATTTCAATGTCATAACTGTAATCAGCGGCACGGAAAGGCCCCAGAACATAGGTGCGATAGGGGGAGCCGGGCTCTCCCCAGGTGAAGGGGGTCTCGTCTGTTTCCGACCTTCCAGGTGAAGGGGGTATGTGAGCCTGGGGGGGGGGGGGGGAGGAAGAGAGAAAAGGTAAAAAAGCTTGGTATGAAGAGCTCCAATTTGTAACTTATTTAGGCACAAATTGAAAAAAAATCTGAAAAATTTTAAAAGAAATTAAAAAATTTCAAAAAAATTGACTTTATGAAGATCTGTGCTCCTGTTCCATTGCACCAACAAAAAACGAAAGCAATAAGGTTTATCCCAAAAGGTGTACAAGTTAGGAACAACTTCAATTCCTGCACATCATCATCAACAGTATCACTATCGCTAACGTCAGAGACAACAAGTTCGCTGCCTGAAAAATCTTCTTCTTCCTCCAAAAGGTCATCGGAGTAGAAGTAGAATTGCGTGAAAAAGCGTTCTAAGTCGAAAATGGATTTGAAACGTTCTTCTTCTCTAAGCGCTTTTGTGATTTTTTTCGCCCTCTGGTAGCACCAGGAAAGTTAGCAGGTAGGTGACCAGTTTCTTCATACCGTCTTCTAGGATATTTCAAGAAGTTATACGGTGATGACATGTCTGTACCACTTATATCAATCCTTTGAACGAAATTTTTAGATAACAATATGTTTAGTAGAAGGTTGACAAACCTTAAGTAATTGCTTAGATGCTCCACCGTTGTGCGACTTTTGCGTTGTGTTCTGATAACAGAGTAGATAGAAAATCCTCTCTCCAACTCTGTCGTGCTAGTCGGAATGGAGACTAGCTTTGCTAGTAAGTCCATGAGATTTTTGGGATAAGTAATGGGGAAAGAGCCAGATCGCATATGCTTTCGTAACACGGGAAGGAAATATTGCATACTTTTTTGGGCCTTGTCGAACTCTGGCTTCACCTCCTCTGGCATACGTCCTGTTAGCTGATGAGCTGCTCAACTTCTTCTTTAACAGCATCTGCGGAATAGCCGAAAAAAGTAGACATTATGCTGCGCGTTGGTTTTTTTTTTCGATATTATAGGCCATAATGTCACAAAGCGAATAGCTTCCAAAAGCATAAAGTACAGAGTTGGGTTCACACTCAAGTCGGGATCTAAGAGCAGTAGCTATGCTTTGTACTAACACCTTCCTTTTGTTCATATGCATGTTCGTGAATTTAGCAGCCTTGAAATCTTCAGCAACCTGAAGATCAGCAATGGACTTCCCGGACATTTACTCATTGAAACTAGGCAATCTGCTTGGATTCCTGATGTACGAAATAGGGAGTTCGCTCAATTGTCAACTCTGTATCAATGTCGACAACATTTTCGTCGACGTAAAATTCTCCTTCTGCCTCGCTGTTGAACTGGAACACATGCGAGTGATCTGCGATTTTGTAAAGTATTCTGCCTGCCTTTTCCTCTTCAAACTGCCAACCTTTCCAAAACATTGAGGGATGTTTTAATAACATGTTACTCATCTGAATATCTTGAAGCTTTTGATTCGCTGAAACCAATCATTCTCTACAAATTAGGTATGGTGAGTCTAGAGCGCTTTCACGAAAGTGACCTTCTTCAGCACTAGGTTTACAGAGTATAGATTCCAGAAATGGGTGGGTTTTTGTGTGAAAGTGTGGAAATTCACCAATCTCCCATAGTTTTTTGAGTGTGTGCTAATAATAATGGCATAGCTGTCAATCAAAAGCGCATTTTTTACCAAAAAACATAAACATATGAAACAATAAGCACGCTTAGATAGACGCGTTCGCTCACGTTCCCGTTAGTGCTGATAACAATGTCAATCCACATCACATTTTCACTACTTGCTCCACCTCGCTCTTATTAGGTCGTCCCGAAAGTTTCTGCGCACGATTATCAAAAATTCATAACTTCTGATTTTTCCAACCGATTTGACTGCTTCCACTTTCATGTGAAAGGGTAAGTCATGGTCTTTATAAAGACATCTCAGCTGCTTTGTAGTGGTCATCCATTGCATAGATAGGAGCGATAGAAGAAAAATGGTCAAAATTTGAATTTTCTGTGTAGGGTCATAAAAAATCAGAGACTTGCAATAAAAATCGGAGCAGTCAGTATGTAGGTTTTTTCACCAGCTCTTTCTAACAGCGCAAAGTTTGCGCCGATGAGCGTTTCTATGGAAAGTTATGATTTCCCTGAAAAATGCCAAAATAAACCAAATTCGCCCTTTTGTATTGCTTGCTCGAAAATCATAACTTTTTATAGAGACCCTCAATCAGCGCAAACTTTGCACTGTTAGAAAGAGCTGGTGAAATAACCTACAATACTGACTGCTCCGATTTTTGTTGCAAGTCTCCGATTTTTCATGACCCTACACAGAAAATTCAAATTTTGACCAATTTTCTTCTATCGCTCCTATCTATGCAACAGATGACCGTTAGTAAGCAGATAAGATGTCGTTATAAAAAACATGAATTACTGTTTCATACGAAAATAGAAGCAGTCAAACGGTTGGAAAAATCAGAAGTTATGAATTTTTGAAAATCGTGCGCAAGAACTTTCGGGACGACCTATACAATGTGTTGGCTTTTATCGGTTACCGGAGCAAATGATTTTTAGAGCCGGGAAGCAAAGAAGCCGCAACATGCTCTATACCATTCGGAAGCTGAGATCATGAAGAATCGACGTAGACCGTCGATTTTTTTCTAGGTCTTCTGTGCCGCGAGATATGAGGGATTTTATGTGCTTCAAAAAATTAACTAATTTTGTGTCCTCCTTTCTGCTCTCCAAACGAATGCTACGGGAAAGTCGACAGTCTACGTTTGTTAATGAAGACTTGCTCTTTAAAATAGATAGATAATCAGCAGTGATTAAATCTTCATTTGACAGAAATCTGCTGTTGAAAATGACCATGTTTTCAGATAAAATGCGGTGTATCTCTCGGTAGAGGGGGACTAGAAAGAAATCGACGGTCTAGGTCGAATCCCCTTTTCCTGAGCTTTCGAATAGTATATAAGTTGCTGGGCGAAAAAACTAACAAGTTTTCAAAAATGGGGTGGAGATATTTACTATTAGCGAAGCTCCACCCAGCTCCACCAATGTATTGGCTTTTATCGGTTACCGGAGCAAATGATTTTTAGAGCCGGGAAGCAAAGAAGCCGCAACATGCTCTATACCATTCGAAAGCTGAGATCATGAAGAATCAAAGTAGACCGTCGACTTTTTTCTAGGTCTTCTGTGCCGCGAGATATGAGGTATTTTATGTGCTTCAAAAAATTAACTAAATTTGTGTCCTCCTTTCTGCTCTCCAAATGAATGCTACGAGGATAAACAAATAATATAAATAAACATAAATACCGTTTCCTTTGTAAATTTATGAGTGTACTTGTTGTTTGAGGTACTTAGCCTGCAAAACCTTTTAATAACGATTTTTATCATAAGCTCAGAGTACAATACCAATCTCAGCCCAGGTGAAGGGGGTCATCGGGAGTTTGGCTTCAGAGTGAAGGGGTAAGATCCACCACTCCCCCTATCGCAACTATGCCCCAGAATGACAAAAACATCGAAGGTGAAATTTTGAGTGTACGCTGCCTTTAACTATGCATTTGCAGTGCCTACATGCAAGTCTCTGAGATGAACTTTGGTTTGAACATGCTTCGGCAAACTCCTGTAAACAAATCAATGGTGGTATCTCCAGTTTCGGTCATCTTCGCACTTGCCATGGTTCAGCTAGGTGCGAGAAATCGTACAAAATTGCAGATCAATGAGGTGATCGCGAACGGTGAGAGGCCACTAATTTATCTTTTTAAAGAATTTAGGGTTTTTAGTAACTGTTCTTTTTGAATTTTGATGTGCAGAGTGTTCCAAAAGTATGTATACACTGTTTAATCGTTAATATCTTTCTTCTCAGGTAGTCTTTTACCTACCTCAAAGTACCATTTTGTAGAGCTAACTTCAACTTAGATTTACACTATAGAGCGAACCACCGATCGCTCTTCGGTACTGTAGGGTTATGGTAGGAACTTTTGCTTACGGTATCATTGTAGATTAGCCGTGTTTCAAAAAAAGCTTTCAACAATTCTGAAAATTGGTGTGCCAGGCATTTTGCGTGCGCTGATTTCAGTACTCAACTTTCTAGGAGTTTTTAAGGCTTTTCAAAGTGTGTGACTGCAATTTTAGGGAGCATAGTAAAAACAGCTATTACGATTTATGGGGCATAAGTCATGAAGGAAGCATCGCGGTCAAATGCAAAGTTCGTATTTGGTATAAGCGACTTTAATTAGCCTAGTGCAAGACTTTAAAGACTGTTTGGTTTACTTTCTAACGCGGAATAGGATCAACCATGTCTCAAAATCCTTCTTGAAGTTCCACCGTAATCCTACAATAGTGAGTGAAGGTAATAAGGCCATTACAAAAGCGTAAACCTTGATCCTTGCAGCTCAATTAGTCTTTTATAAATGAAAAAAGGCTTAATGCTATTGTTCTTGCCTCCTTTGTAAAGCGGATGATAATGTCTTTACTGAAGCAAAGAACCAACTTATCTTATACAACCTAGAAAGCTCGCTATCAATTTCATATATGAAGAGTTTGCTATCACAGTGATACCGCTTCATTTGGGCACTCATAAGACCAGCAGACAAAAGTTTCTGTTTTGAAGATAAAAACCTGTTGAGGCCACTCCGCAATTTGTCATTCCATGTACAATACTACCGCTCGTACTTGAAAAAAAATCGGCGGTGGCCGCCATCAAAGTCAAATGCGCGTGCATCACTATATCTCGGTTCAGAAACGAATTTTGAATCCGAGAACACCATTCGACTCGGTTCGGCAGGAGGCAAAATTTACTACTGGCTGCACTTTGTATGGCTTTCTATGGGTACTGTAGGAACGGCAAGAACTCACTTTGCGCAGATATGTTCAAAAACTTGCTTGGAGCGCTACTTGATGCGATGATTACAAAAACTATGCGCAAGTTATTTGCAACTTAAATATGAGTTTGCACATTGATCGCGTCAAGCAACGGCACCTTACTGGGTGACTTGCCAGTAAGACCTCATGTAGCGAGCAAAACTGGATTTATTACTATCTAACACCTTGAATCCAAAAGAAACTGAAAACAAGGGAGTAATTCCAGGAATGATAGCATCTGTTCTTATATGCCGCGAAGTAGCACACTTGATGTGCAGTACACATATTGAGTTACAAAGACGGCGATGCATTCATTGCATTCATCCGCTTGGGCACAGTGCAGAGATACTGTAGGAAAATGAAGGTTGTCAATCTACTCGGGTTTGTTTACATGTTGCTTTCACGCGCGCTCAAAGAAGAGTAGCTGATTTTCTCATGATAACATCATGTAAGGAGTTAATTAGGTTCGGTCCACAGCGCAAAAAAAGCTTACATAGTGAGCATAGTTTATTGTGGATGCATTTTCGCGATTTTATTGCGCAGCGCATCATGTACAAAAAAGCTCTACTAAGTACCTACTAGTAAGATTGTGCCCGCACAGTATCCTAAGTAGAAACTTATTTGCATGCTCCTCTCCAAAACTAAGGGAATGAATGGTGAATTTTGGAATACAGGGTCTACAAACATTTTATTTCAAACGAGGTACAGCAGCAGCTTAAAAAACTGATTTGGCATTGATAGGTCGATCGGCACGCTAATAATCTAATTGCACTCCACGCTACTTACGTTGGTTTGACGTTGACTTGAGGTCTTCAATCATGTCATGCGGACTTGTTTTTGTGAGTGCGCCATTCAATGCTTTCTACATAGGAAGGTCTCCTGAAGGCAACACTCAATACTGCAGTTTTTCGAGCATCTAAGCAGCTGAAAAGAGGCAAAAACCCTTCAATGTGAAGGCGAAAACCCCTATCATAATATTTTCCTTTCCAAGCTCAAAAACACTGAAATCAGGAAATCTTTTGAACTGGTTTGAATCTTACCTCAGTGACAGAAATATGTCTGTAAAAGTTGAACAAATAGATTCTCTCGCTTGAGTAGTGTTCCCCAAGGAGCTGTTTTATCTCCTTTACTGTTTTAATTTTCACTTTAAAATTACCTAATATTTTGAAGACAAATGATGTACCCTAATTTCACGCGTATAAGGCGCGGGGATTTTTTTTCAAAATGGACCAGCCCAGACAAGCCAAAGGACTTTACAACCAAAGGACCCTATAACGTGCTGTATATTGCTTGAGAAAATCGTACTTGTAAGGATTTCTTTCCGGGATACAGTGAAGCGGCTGAGCGGCTCGCCTGAAAATTCGAAAAACTGCGCCTTATACGCGTGAAATTAGGGTAAATCTCTGAACTACGCCGATGATTTGAAAACTTATGCAGCATATAGTGAGCATGATTCGGCTAAAGAAAAACTGCAAATATCCATTGCAAAAATGTGTGCTCGGACATCGCAAAATAGACTTTCTCTCAACCCGAAAAATGCTACTATCTCCATCCTTGGTAGACTTACTCCAGCCGCTTGTCTAGCATTATCGAGTCTAAATTGAATCTCTCTAAACACATCGAGTCTATTTCAAGAAAGCGTAATCTACATTACTCACGATTTTCCGAAACATACTCCCACTCCTAATAAGATAATCTCCTACATACTCCTAATAAGATAATCTTGACAGAATTGTATCGATCATATGTTCTTCCTCGACTAGAAAACTGTCCCCAAGTTTGGAGCTCTTTAGTAAAAAGAACGGTTTGAAAACTGAGAGAGTTCATACACCTTTACTCGACTGATTTACTACCGTAATACGACTCAAGAATAAAGCGGCATTCTAAACTATAAATTTGGAATAAAACATTGCGTCTAACTGCTCTAATAACAAGACGCACAATAGCTGATTTAGTTTCTTCGTTTCCGAATACTTCATTTAGAAGTCAAACTGAGAGCTATTAAATCCTGGATTTTTATGCCTACAAGTAATAGATCAGGAGAATTCAATCTCCGCTGTAAACTCGAGAGAACTCATCGACCTTTTCAACTTTATATTCTACCGCTGTGCTAGATGGTTCCAACAATTGCCTACTGAAATTATTTCCGTGAGCAATAGTGAAACCTTCAAGAAAACTGATGATAGCAGATATACCTCAACTACTGAATTGTGATCATATCTAATTCTTGTTGGTACACGTTATGTTTTTTGTTTTCAGATACATAAAAATGGAATGTAAGTACGAACAAATTAACTCTATGTTGAGAGAAATCATCCACCAGAACTGATGATTTTCTCTGTATCCACTATCTCTAATCGTTCTGCAAATTTCTTTCAAGACGCTCGTTGTCGATTTCAGCTGTTGGAGTGATTATGCTATACATATGGCTATGGTTACCATCAACTCAGCGCAACATATACCCTCCCTTTTCATTCAAAATTCCACCCCCTGGATAAAAAGTCCTTCACGAGTAGAGATGCAAGTTTCCAAAAAAATTCCCCTCTCCCTTTTTTTTTCAGTAAGCCTAATTACGTAGGCTCACCCACATTATCAAGTAACTGTTTAGGTCTAGTTTTTTTTCAAATATATTTGTATAAGGTTAGCTTAAAATGACGTCCATTTTTTTCCTTTCTCAAGTTGCTGCATGCTAGAGTTTGTCACCCTCGCAGGTCGGATGAGCGGGGAGGTCAGTATACTCGCTTTCCGAACTTCCGACTTGCTATTGAATCTTGGGGTCGTTTTTGCTGGCAAGAGGGGGGGGCATGGGTACAAACTCCACTGAGTTATATATTCCTGGCAAAGTCTGTTGAGCAAGATCCTTAGTGCTTGGAATTTTTAGTAGTATCAAGCTGCACCTGAACTGGCAATGATTTCACTGCAAGTTTGCTTTCTTTTTTGTATCGTAACATCTCAGCTGTACATATTCTTGTTTTTATAGCACGCCTCAGAGCGTAAAGAATAAATAAATGAATGTTTACCTAAAATATATCTACCGCAGCCCTGCAGTAAATGCTATCTTGCAAATCATAGGTGATTCATGTAATCAGCAAGTCAAAAACTTCTTGGAACAGATTTTTCAAAGAAATAGGTTATCTTGGTTTTCTCTCGTTCCTAGCTCTCGAGCTCGCCCGCGAGTTTTGGCTGAAATATTTATGTTCTTGGATTCACCGGAAACTTCACTGACAATGGCTTTCTGATCCACTGTTTACAAAAAGCTTGGGTCCATAGTAAACCTCCATTCATCTCAGGTGACTTGAGATTAGTCATTCAGAAGAACCTTCTCGGGTGAACCTAATCCCGCCCACCCTCCCGTGCTTTAGGATAGTCAGTTCAACAGTCGGAAGACTGTCCGGTCAAGTGTCACAGTCAGTTCACCAGAATGCCACTTTCCCGAGGTTGAACTTTAGGGTGACCCGAGAGAGACAGTGTGGAAAAGAGGAGAATCAGACAAATTTCCCGTAAGTTGCTTGTGAGTTACTTACGGGAAAATTCAGTTGACGTACTGCTGCGGTACAAAACTCCCGAAATTGCACAATTTCGGCGGCCTTAATTGGAGAGGATCAGTGGACAGCTGATTGCGGCAAGAAATTATAAAAAAGGTTTTTTGTTTTTTCTTGCGTTTCTTGCTTGATTTTTTTAAAACCAATTCGAATGCAATGAATGGAAATTTATCTTTCTATCTGCTTTCGGAAACTTGTGATTTTGAGCCGGTATGCATGCCAAAATGTTTTGAACTTATTTTATATCTTCGTTTGCTACGCGATAACTCTGATAACGGACATCATCGATTTTTCAACAGTGGCCGATATCAAAGACTGCCCGGCAATGCAACAAAAACGCTACCACTGGCAAGTCTCGAACCTTTGCCGCACTTCTTGCAGTCCCACTGACTTGACGGTCCGACCAAACATGCTCGATTAGTTGTATTCCCAAGAGCCCACTTGGTCATCATGTCCAAAAAGCGATCCGAACCCGGATCGATGGCTCACCGGATGCCGAACTGAGGCGCTCTACGTTTAACTTAGGCCCGCCCTCAGCCGAGTTGTGCTGAACAGAGGTTTACTACGGGCCTTAGTCATTTCTCATAAAAGAGTCTTACAGTAAAGCTATAGTGAAAGAAAGACATAACCGAATCACGCAAGATCGCAAATTGTGTATTTTGGTGAGTTCCACAAGCGCATTGCAACATAGCTAAAATAATATGGCGAGAAACTTGTTACGAAAATCCTTCAATATGCACGGTCCTGAAAATGGGACAAAACTTCTGAGAACATGAGTTTGTAAATATAACCTTGCGAAAAGTGCAGATAGGGGCCTGTGTTGTGCATGCTACGATAGCGCTGATCACAGAATCTCTAACGTGCAAAAGTTTGCGAGTCTATAAGGTTCTTGCGTGATTCGTTCATGTTTTTCTCTCGCTATAGCTTCACTGTAAGATTATTTGATGAGAATGACCAAGCTTTTTGTAAACAGCAGATCAGCAAGCCATTGTGAGTGAAGTTTTCAGCTAGCCAAGAACATGAGTATTTCAGCCAAAACCTGCGGGCGAGATCAAGAGCGATGAACGAGAAAAAATCAAATGGACCTATCTCTTTGGAAAATCTGTTCATAGAGGTTATTGACCTGCTGATCACAGAATCACATATGATTTGCAAAATAGCATTTTAATGTAGGGCCACGGTAGATATATTTTAGGTGAACATGGATTTCTCCATAGTTTGGTAGGGGTTTTGCCTTTACATCGGAGAGTTTTTGTCTCTGTTCAACTGCTTAGATGCTCGAAAAACTGCAGTATTGAGTGTTGCCTTCAGGAGACCTTCCCATGTAGAAAGCATTGAATGGCGCGCATACAAAAACAAGTCCGCAGGACATGATTGAAGACCTCAGGTCAACGTCAAACCAACGTAAGTACTCAAATTAGCGTGTCGATCAACTTACCAATGCCAAATCAGTTTTTTGAGCTGCTGCTATACCTCGTTTGAAATAAAATGTTTGTAGACCCTGTAAATTTCCAATTCACCATTCATTCCCTTAGTTTTGGAGAGGAGCATGCGGATAAGTTTCTACTTAGTATACTGTGCGGGCACAATTTTACTAGTAGGTACTTAGTAGAGCTTCTTTGTACATAATGCGCTGCGCAATACCATTGCGAAAACGCATCCACAATAAACTATGCTCACTATGTAAGCTTTTTTGCGCTGTGGACCGAACCTAATTAACTCCTTACACGATGTTATCATGAGAAAATCAGCTACTCTTCTTTGAGCGAGCATGAAAGCAACGTGTAAACAAACTCGAGTAGATTGACAACCTTCATTTTCCTACAGTATCTCTGCACTGTGCCCAAGCGGTAAATGCAATGATTGCATCGCCGCCTTTGTAACTCAATATGCGCACTGCACATCAAGTGTGCTACTTCCATTTAAAAACAGATGCTATCATTCCTGGAATTACTTCCTGTTTTTCAGTTTCTTTTGGTTTCAAGGTGTTAGATAGTAATAACTCCAATTTTGCTCGCTACATGAGGTCTTACTGGCAAGTCACCCAGTAAGGTGCAGTTGCTTGCCGCGATAATGTGCAAACTCATATTTGAGTTACAAATAACTTGCGCATAGTTTTCGTAAACAACGCATCAAGTAGCGCTCCAAGCAAGTTTTTGAACATATCTGTGCAAAGTGAGTTCTTGCCGTTCCTACAGTACCCATAGAAAGCCACACAAAGTGCAGCCAGCAGTAAATTTTGCCTCCTCGCCGAGCCGAGTCGAACGGTGTCCTCGGATTCAAAATTCGTTTTTGAACCGATATAGGGTGATAAATGCGCATTTGACTTTGATGGCGGCCAGCGGCGGCCGCCTAACTTCGACTAATTTTTTTTACAAATTACGAGCGGTATTGTAAAAGTTCTTGCCGCGCGTATATCTGTAGTGGGAGGAAGAGGAACTTCAAGCTATATGTCTCCGCCTACTCTTCCCTCATCTTCATAAATAATGAGGAAAGCTCTACTACTTTGACTAAGCATAACGATAACAATGGAAGTGGAAGGGCGTGTAAAAAGAAGAGTGAGTTTTTCTACTGTTGGGTGACTTTTTTCAGTCTATTTATTGAACTATCTCGTATACTCTTTCCAATGTAAATGCTAAATCTATTGCTGAGAGCTAGCGCAACTAAGAGCGTACAAAGTTATGGCTGTATCTATGAATGATAAGGTATATAATCATGTATCTGCGAGAAATCTGGGGCTATTAGGAGCGGAATTTACCCTTTTCTCCATGTTGTTTTCTTCACTTCGAGCTACGAAAATGTGAAGAGTGCATGGCTGAGTGATTTGCTAAGCATGCACTATCGAGTAGGGGGATCTTTAGCATTTTTTGACATAGGCGTACTGGCGTATATTCGCTCAACTATCATTGGATTTCAGTTTTAAACTTTATGTGGAAGACCATTTGAGCGGTCGCTTGGTAGCCATCTTGAGGTTCTTGCTTTGCTCTGTTGTATGTTAGGCCAAGCCGTATGAATGTGAAAGAGATAGCAAGACTGTGATTTCGGTAAATCGAGAAAAACTTATGAACGACCTAATATTAGACCCTACTTATCAATGGGTCACCATTGTGTAGCTACGTCAATGTTATATACTCATAATTTAGACGCTACCGATAGCGCCATAGTAGGCTTCTATTCGGATCTTTCCAAGAACATTACCAACTCCCCTGGAGCACAGACAAGAATCGCTAATGGGTTCTTCTTGAAGTAAGTTATTCTGTTCCCTCTTCACATATACTCTGAATATAAAGTTAAAGACCAATAACATTGGTTGAGCAGTGGAGTTTGGCGATAGCAGGTATAACCGGTCAGTTCGGCAATTTCATACAGTTGTTAACATACCTTAATAATATATTGATGCAGTGAAATAGTAAAAGCAGTTTTGAAACTTCCACATTTTTCTAAATGACATCAGGTGCTATTTTGACTTATTTGCACTGTAGGGAAAAAGCATTGTGTATTCTAAAGTAGCATTTTCTTGAGGACCGGCCATATTATGTTGTGATTCATGCGATTCCCATGTTTCCTGCAATTCTGTGATTATGAGGCGTCCAATGCTCTAGTTTTTGTAATTTAATGTTGCGTGAGGCAACAGTGCTCGCTGATTCAGTATTACAAAATGTTTTCCTCTTTTAATTTATATGTATATTAGATCGAACTAAAAGTTGGTCAGTTTTTTGAAATGTCCCGCAAATCCGGTACAGTAGAGAAAAACACTACATGCTGCATTCAACGCAGAATCTCTTTCTCTTCATAGATGCTATATAATCCATGTGTTTCGTTGAGAGAGTGCTGAGAAAACTACTAGAAATTACAACCTTTCGTTTTCACCATGTCCAATCCGCTAATTTTCATAATTTTTATCTGACACTTTTGCGGAAGCTTTGACAGTTAGCAGTAGGGAAAAACCTTTTGCCAGCTGATGCAATTTTCTGTAGCTCTGTGTTTTATCCCTTAGAAATTCTAAAATATATTAAGTGACCAAATTTTATATTCGTCTTCTGACTCTTAGGACATGAATAGGTAGACAGTTCAGGTACCACTCAATGCAGCTTTTCTTTTTTTCAACAGTTCTCTTTCCTCGGGAAACGCGGAATTTAAGGGGAGAATCGCAGTATCTTTCAATTTTACAAGTGCTCACTGACGTACTCTGCGTCGAGTGACGTTGCGTTTCGAAACGTCATATTTTGGAACGAAAATCAAAGGGGTCTACCCTAATCGCTGGTTATTAAAGCTCTCACAAATTCCTCAAATAAAAATTTGGAAAATTGGCAGAAGTTGGATATGGCAAATACGAGAGATTGTAATTTTCAACGATTATATCAGCACTCACTTGACGAAACATACTGGGAGTATAACAGCGGAAATTCTGCATCGAACACAGCTTAAAATGTTTGTTTATCTTTGCTGTACAGGATTTGCGGGCCCATCAATACTGACAGAACCTTTGGACCGACCTAATATATTAGGTTGATTCATAATTAATCCATGTTTTTTTTTACCTTTTCTCTCAAGCACTAGTTTCTGATGTGTAATCAGTTTCCTCGGATGACTTTTTACGCTTTTTAGAATAGCATTTTTTATAATCTCTTACGTATTCCCCCGCTTTCATACATTTTCGTTCATTCAAAAGTGTTACGCCTTAAATAAAGGAGGTAAGCCCAAAACTTTTGTCCTACACTCTTTTTGCCCTAAATCTATGAGGAATAGCGGGATCAGTTTCATTAAAAATGTGTAAGTATACGAAGCTTTGTGCTACAAGTTGCTTCTTGAACAAAATTCTTCACAAGAATTCTGAGCCGAGAAATTCAATCACGAACTGGAATGACCGTCGCAACCCTTCCGTACCGTATAAGAGCTTAAGCAAAAGGCGGGTGCAGTTTTGCACTATCCAGCAGGGGTAGGTCTAGTTTATTTGACGGTGAAAAAACGATAGGGTTTTCTCACTTTCTAGTAGAGGAATGAAATTTTTAAAAGTCAATTTTTGAACCCGCCGTGATGCCAGAAAAAAGTAAGCACTTTGGACTTTTTGCAATAATTCTTCTCAAAACAAAGGTCCGCGAAATCTAACTTTGGCATCAGTCAACAGTTCCTTGGCTACACGATGAGCAGAGTGTGCTTTTCCTACCTTCAAAAATCATGCTCTCTCAAAGTAGAGGCTTCCGAAAAGTTTCCATCAATCTCCAAGCTAGAAAATCTTTCTTGTGATAGCTACAGTCACGCAAAAGCAGCTGCTGTACAGCCAAACGTTTGCCTATAGGCCGTTCGCGCCTTGCGCGCAGAGCAACGGTGTCGCGTCCATTTGAAGACAGTTCAAGACCGGAAGAGACGCAGAAAAAACAAGCGGCGAGAGTGCACGAGAAAGGAAGAGTGACGCGCGGTACACAATTTGCGCACTCTCCGCGCCCTGCGCGGACGGCCTATACCGTGATTCTTATTGCGTTTAGAAACTTCTTTTTAGAGAAAAATCTTGGCTCATATTTAAAGTATAGAAAACATGCGTTGATTAGAATTAGCCTAAAATAAAACTTAAACACTGCAAAGTGTTTGTTAGGACGTTTGTAGTTTATAGACTTCTTTGTGTGTAAACCAAAAAGGTTGGATTTCGGCGCAAAAGATGGCTACTTTTCGCGACGACTCGCTGAGTTTTTCTACCAATTTATTGCTTTGTTTACTTACATGCAGGAAATTGAAAGCTTATCATGATGCTTCAACTAAGCAGTTCCTATAACGTGAACAGGAGCTCACTAATGTTTTTAGGTGCTAAATGAAGAGCATTTCATAATGTTTGTTCGTGTCACTCATTCGCACTACTTTCGGTAGCTAAACATGCGAACGACTAAAACACTCGAGAATCTTTCCGATGATCGAACAAGTTTGAGTTTGTTTTCATTCCAAGCAGATTACTTGAAATGACGAAGGTCGACCTGCTGATCGCAAGCAAATGTAATAGAAGTTGCTGGTCTAAATCGAATGATATGATCCGACGAATACGGTAACTATTCCCTAGGAGTAAGAACGTTGATGTTGCTTTAGAGCCATGCTTGAACAACCATCGCATTGTGCGCAGGTGCGCTATCCTAGAAATTCTTCCGGCAAAATGGGGATTGGTTCGGACCAACAAATCTTCCTTCAGGATGCTATCCACACATGCGCAGCAGTCTTAATGCCCTGAGACACAAAAATCAGCAGCATCTTGATGTCGAAAGCGATCACCGCGCAAACTATCACAGAAGCCGCATGAAGCTTTCCCTTTGCAAGCCAACCCTTGCTGTTGGCTTCGGGGGCGATTAGTTGATGAGACTGTTGTTTTGGCGATCAAAAGCATCCTTCAGGTGAAAATCTTGACGTCAGAGAAGAGTATGGCGCGGTGGCATGCCTTGAAAAGACGTTCAAGCAGTCGATGGCATCTGCGAATTCCAGCTTTGTGTTTTCCCAAAAAGCAGGAATTTTTAGCATCCTGAAAAGCTTCATCCTAAGGTCCTGTTCCACGATTGCGAGAGATGGACAGCTTTAAGCCAGCTCAATCAAGCGTCGCTGAGGATTGCGACGAAGGCGCTGCGAGCGATTCTCTGATTTTTGCGAATGTTAACAGTAACCAATTTACCACTCCTACAATAGTCCTGGGTGCTGCTCAATTTCTAGAAAACGACGCAAGGTGGAAAAGACGCTGATCTGTGCTGGTCAACCATCCTCTCCTCTGCAACATCGCCACCAACGCTCGCTCCTTTCCAAAAGGCCTATTTCCGACAGGAAAAAAGCTAACAATTTCGTTTTTGGAGGGCTTGTACTTAAGAGCATAAGAAGCAGGTACATGTAATTAACATACAAGAGTATGTGGAAAAACTGAACATACAAGGACATCAGTATGTTCAAGGACTCCCCCCCCCCATTCCTGTATTTTACAAATACATGTAGATCCACCAAAGTTGAATCCTGTCTTTGCGAAATGATAAAGGATAATGACGTAAAGTATATACTATCAATATGCATAGAATGACTCTGAACAACATTTCGTATTTGCAGTTCTCAAATTAGTATAGTCAATCTACTAGTTTGCATACCAATTTATGATTCCAGATCTTGTAATCAAACCCCAAAATTTTGCTGCACTTCTTTGTGACGTCGGAATGTTGCCATTCCAGCACCTTGCATGGCCATATGGCGACACCTACATGAAACTATTGTAGCCACTGATGTACATTATATCGCGTTAAAAATGCAAAAAAATTAAGCACTACAACTTTGTTGTAGCATTTACCCGGTTTTCTAGCAGTTTTTTTACAATTCACATTCCCAGACAACCTTCACTTTTATGAGGGCACATCTCAAACAAATCTTTTTGCGGCTCTAACTCTAAACGATCGAAGATCTTAGACTGAAGAGAAACATGTGATGGCTTCCAGAGAGCAAAAGTTATAAATTGAACGGTTACATTTCATTCTCATTTCTCCTAAAGCAGGTTTTGTATCACTTCAAGATATCGATGTTAGGAGGCTGAACTCGTGCGACAACCAGAACACGGTCTTTTACCTCATAAAATTCAAGAATGTTTGTCTCCATTTTTGAGCAAAACCAATTCATAAAAATTGAGCAGTACTTAGTCAACCTCATCATTGCTGATGTGTACGTTTTTATTCGCCTACAGCTACTCAATCACTAGAATATGCATTTATTAGGTTGATGCAAAAATAATGGCCGATTTTCCAACTCTTTGTTCAAAACAACTTTTTTCCATCAGAATATCTTCTTTAAAACACATGTAGCTTACCACTGAGAATCTGATCTCATGCTCCATCTGATGATGGTTGAAGCGGAGTCCGTCCCCATCTATTTTAAAGTTACTGGACTTCAAATAACCGCAAAATTCGGAATTTCATTGCATTCACTTTTCTGGCCAGATTTTAAGAGCGCATGAACGGCGCTTCCTCGGAAACTTAGCTATTGTATGCAATAGAGATTGTCAACATTATGCATACATGACTGTATTTTCTGAAGTTATACAGACCGAGATATCGGCGCCTCAGTATGGGTAGCCGTTGCGGTCACTTTATAACCTACAAATTTCATTTAAAAAAGTTAATCGCCGAGGCTTTGCTCAATTCTGTAAGCGTAATGCCAGTGCATCCTATTAGCTGCTTTTGCAAAAATGTCCGACCGTTCAGCACGCAGAAAATCGGAAAAGTCTACATTTGAGGTTATGAGGCATACTGAAAAAGTGTTGAAAAAACTGACAATTTTAAATTATAATTTTTTCCTTTCTGCATCCTTTTTCTCCAGAACATTTCATCGTATTTTGTATTAGTAGCTTGCGGCTACAAGCAGACCACTTGTCATTCATATTAACAAATTCTGAAGGAACTTATGAACGTCAAAAACAAGGTTTTAGAAAACAAACCTTTTTTGTCTTTTAGTCCGGATTTTTCTTCCCTGTTAAGGTGTGAGTATAAGTAAATGTGCGCTATATTGCGAAAGGTTTGCTGCATCTGAACGGTCTTTACCGCATTTAGAAATATGGAAGTTTTAGAAAGTTGTAGCTCAAAGTGTCAAAATGAAAATTTGCAAAACCGCCATTATTTTTTTGCATCAACCTAATATTTATTACGCTGTTCAAAAAGAACCTTTCGGATGATGTGAATCATGGCTAATTCCAAAAAACCCTCGAAAACTAGTGAGATAAGTTTGACCACAGTACTTCGCAGAATTAGGAACTAATGCAATTCAATCTTCGTTGCTCTTGCCTCCCATTTATGATTGCTCACAAGAAACATTATTTAACAGAAGTTAACATCTAAACAAGATTTTTCAATTCTCTCTTTGCATTACCACATTAGATCCTTCAAAAGCACCTATTAGACGGATCCTAATAGGTGCTAACTTAATGCTTCGTTTTTTCCATTTCAAACATTTCCACCTGAGATGGCATGGAAAGATTGTAAGAAATGTAGAGAACGCAATGATATGAGTATCTATGCCCTATAAAAACCAGTGACGTACCCAGGATTTCGGCTCGGGGCCCCTCCCCCTCGGTACGCCACTGATAAAAGCCTATGTTTTCAAGAAAAGACTCTGTAAAAAGCTGCCTCAAAATTTTATGAGTTTTGAGAGCGAAAAATCGACCCACTTTTAGCAAGACATTTTCGATAAAAAAGAACTATGCGAGAATGATTGCTCAGAAGTATGGCGCTACCATCGAAGCATACGACTTTAGGCAGGCAGCAAATACTGCTAAGGTATGAAGATTAAACAACATGTGCTTTTTGAAAGGAAAGAGTACTAATTAAGATTATCGACAACTTCGTAAGTCGAAAAACTGATGGCAAAATCGAAAATTTCATAAAAGGTGATGCAGTAAAAGGTGCGTTCTCTTGTCAGTATCCTTTCCTTAGTGAGAGATTATGTTTCAGATGCAGGCGCCCTTATAGTAAATGCAATTTACTTTAAAGCTAAATGGTATCACAAGTTTAACAAGGAATTCACAGAAGAAGCTATGTTTCACCATTCTGCAGGTGGTAAAGAAAAGGTTGAGAAATGCTACGATTTCCAGTCTGTTAAATATAGCAGCTGTAATTTGTTGGTTCTTGCAGGTAAATTATATGAAAGAGTTTGACAAAAAGCGCATGTATGCTGAAAATGAAGTCGTTCAAGTCCTATCACTACCGTATAAGGACACATCTTACTCTTTCAATATATTTTTGCCTAAGAAAAGGTAGTCGTTTTTTGCCAGGGTATGCTGTCAGATACAGTCTAGACTTGAAGATTCGGCATTGATGAGCTCCGTACAAAGTTGGATGGAGCTACGATTCAAAATCTGCTTTCACAACTAAAGTCCACACTTTTAACGGTAAGCAAAAAGATTTTTTTGGCTAACAGTCTCTATCACCTTTTCAGATATCAATTCCCAAAATGAAACTTGAAAAGGACTACGATTTAAAAAAGGCTCTGTTGGCTTTGGGTGTTTTCCATCTCTTCGATAACAATTTGGCCGATTTGTCAGGGATTTCAAAAGACCACCTGTATGCATCCGACGCAAAGCATGGAGCCTTTATTGAGGCAGGTTTCTTGGCTGCATTAATTGTAACAGTGAAACAGAAGCAAAGAGATGCTTTGACTCATTAAGCAAAAGAAAACTAGAAGTTATTCAAATTGTTTCATGTTGTGGGTGCAAATGGTTGGCATAGTGATGCGCTACCGATAACACTTGTGCAAGAAAAGATGGTCGTAGTGCAATTCATGAAGATTTGCGCTGGACATTGCAGGCATGGCACTTGTTCACACTCAAGTGCTGTCAGTACCTCTGAAACACTATATCAACCATCAGATTACTAGTTTTGCTTGTATCATTGCTTAATCATCGTGTCAATCAAACACTACAATGTGCTCGAATAGGTTGACGAGGAGGGTACAACTGCAGCTGCAGCAACTTACATCGGAAAGTTTAGACAAAGGAGATCGGTCCCCAGGATCCCCCAAAAATTCATCGCAGATCATCCATTCATTTTCATTCTCACCAAGGATGAAAACGCTCTTTTCGTTGGGCAATTTGTTTGATTACCTTTTGTGCACCTATCTTATATATAAAGCTGAATGTCTGCTTGTTTGTCTGTCTGTCTGTATGTCTGTCTGCACGTATGTTCCAAATAGAAAATTCCATTTCTAAACCAATCTGCACCGAACTTGGCACACATACACATCGGGGCAAGGCGGGTGTCACAGGCCACTTCTCGTTATCGATCGATATCGATTTTATCGATTTTTTGCAAAGTTTGAGCTACGGGGCTGAGAATTCGCACAGGGATAAGTGAGCATGCTGATAACTAACGCAGCGGGAATAGGGAGTTGGAGTTGGTATGAAGGAATGGGCACAGGGAATGGTTGTACAGGGATAGGGATGGGAACTTTATCATAGCGTTTTGACAGTGCAGGGCGGAGCCAGTTAAGCCAGCTAGTATTCACTATAGCTGAATCAATGTGAAAAGCATGAGATTTCTTTTCATTTACTGATAATCGCGTTTGTTTGAGCAAAGCAACGCCGTTTAGTCTAGGATGGTAGAAAGAATTCAGTGCATCAAATGTTTCAAAAGATGAGGTTCTAAAATTGCGTGCACGCTTGAGTCCACTGGATTGGAAAGTCGCCACTCCACCAAAAATGCCTTAGATTGGTTGAGCGTTCCATCCCTTCTAACAGACGTAACAAGACTGTCGCTGTTCGACAAGTAATCTTGTCGTATTTCATCAAACACCAGGGTAGGAAGGGTTTATGAGCAATGTATCAACAAACATCTGCTGGTTAAACATGATTCTATAATGTATAAACCACTGCCTTTGAAGTATATCGGCGCTGCAGCTTTCTTGATGCCCTTCGTCAGTGACATCCACCAGGAACTGCAGAGCTGTAGTAAAAGGCAAAAAAAGACAAGTTCACAAACCAGAGACAAGGACGGAGACGTACGGATTTGAATTTGGCTCATTCATACATGTTTAGAGCGAAAGACAGGCTTATTGATAGATAAGGTCAAATCCGCCTCACTAATTGACGAATCTCAAAAGGGAAAGTAACATTCAATCGATTGCGAACTGATAAACAGATCTGCTTCCCACCTTCTCATTACTGGACCTCATCACTTCCAAGGCCCATCATCGCCTATACATTCTCTGCAAAGGCAATATTTCCAAGCTCCAATGTGCTTTTGGTAAAAAAAACAATACTTATTTGCTGTGTTATTTGTGCCAGATCCAGATTAGTATGGTGGTATCATTTATTGACCTTACGTTTCAAAAAAGTCGTCATCTTTGGAGGTCTATGTTCCATCGCGGTGTTAGTGAGTTAGTCAGTAGCCGCACAAAGTAGACGGGCGACACTCACTACTTTGTGTGGCTACTGACTAACTCACCAATACCGCGGTGGAACATAGACCTCCAAAGACGACGACTTTGTCGAAACGTAAGCTCAATAAATGATAGCACCGTACTAACCTGGATTTGGCACAGATAGCACAGAAAAGAGTACATCAAGATGCCCAGATTCAAAGAACTCGAAACAGTACTCAATCTGTGCACCGTAACGAGCAAACTGTTTACAACTAAACCATGATACATCAAAATGGTGTAAGCAATGGGGAAGTGGACCATGAATAATTAAAAAACTAGTGAGAGTCGGAAGCGGCAAATCTTTTTTCCTTAATTTCACATGATTTGTTAAGGTCCCTCAAGTAACTCTTGATTACATTGTAAATTTACAATTCCATTCACCCTCCCCCCCCCCCCCCTCCCCCCCAAATCTGTATCGTTCCGCAGCGCAGGATCTATTAGGCTGTCTGGAAAATAATGTCGCATCGTGTTTTATCATGCAACATCGTGGCGGGTTGAGCACGAAACAAACTAAATGGGATACCAGCCTATAGACCAAAGCAAGCGCTACAAAATAAAGCTTAGATATTTGCGCCAAGTTTGATTTGTGTAAAATTTGTGGCCAGATTTCAAAAGGCACTAAAGGCCTAAAAATTTGAAAAATCGTAACTTCGCTTAGAAAAATCCTAGGTACCCCCAACTTGCAGACATACACTCTCTTTACACCAAGTAATTGTACGCACAGTTTCGTGGTTTTTCCATGTTGGAAATCGAGAAAATGAAATTTGGCATGATTTGGCCAAAGCAATCCTGAGCTTCTTCCAGATAGCTGATTCTATAGTATAAACCCTTTCAAATATAATCATAAGTTCCCAGCTCTCCATAAAGTTTGGTTTTCGGAAAAAATCAAATTTTTCGCAAAAATCCCGAAAAACGCGACATACTCACACTTTTAACCCATTTAATTTCGTATTTTAGCCATAGAAAAATTCAACAAACTGTACACGTAAATATCTGTTGTGAAAGGTACATGTTTGTGCAAACTGGAGATCTCTAAGACAATTATGGTAGGAAATGCGATTTCTTGGGAATGTGGTTTTATATTTTTGGTTCAAATTCTGGTGGAAAAAAGTTTCCGCGGACGTTCTTACTATATCTTGTAGAGCTTGCTTTGCTCTATCAAATGATACCTCATTCGATCTCTTTCGTGATCACCCTGTCGTGGTATGGTGCAATGCCACATTATTTTTCGGACAACCTAATATAAGTCTGTCCAAATGATGGGAAATGAAAATTTCGGAATACAGATGTATGATTCTTCGGACCGCTTCCTAATGATTACTGATGAACAGGGTAAAGCAAGGGGGGGGGGGCGGCACACGACCGTCGGATACGACCCCCCCTTGGGCCGGACCTCGGCACGATCTCCCCCCCCCCATTCCCTACCCCCCCCCCCTCCCCACCCCCGAACTCCCAAGCTAGCTCTTGAGCTTCAGATTATGAGCAGATGAGAGCAGATGAGAGCAGATGCAACTTCCAAGGTTCAAAGGTTCAAAAAAACGGAACATGTTCATAGTTTTCTCTTTTATCTTTATTCAAATTAATATTTAACAATTTATTCAACAACTGAAGATCATTCAGAGACCAATTTTGAGATCTAGACGTTGGCGGCGGCGCAGTTTGCTCAAACGACGCTGTGCTTCTACTAGCTCAGGATTCTTGAGATTAGCATAAGCAATACGTCTGGAATATGACAATAAGGATCTGCAAAGCTCTTGCGGGATGAAAAAAAAACGCACGGTGATGTCTTATGCCCTATACCAAGCCCAATACCATTATTCATTCTCTTGATGTTATCAAAACGGATAGTTAAAGGTCTCTAGAAAAGCAAGGTTTGCCTTATGAGATAAACTCAAAACCAAAAACTTGTTCCTCAAGAAAATGACAAATTATAAGATGAAAAGGATAGATCATCGTTATAAGAATAAACTGATAGAACATCTGCTTCAAACAAAGAAAAAACACTATCTCAGATAAAGGTACCTTTTTGGGATTTGTGGCTAGCTGAAATTTCTTGGACAAAAGTACTTTCGCAAATTCCGCATCCGTGCAGTTTTCCACGCGTTCATATTCATCGTCGGTCACCAACGGTTTGAAAAAATCGCAGATATAACGAATGACTTCGCTCATAGGGAGTAGTTGCCGGCAGCCACCTGTGAACACTGCATTGCAACAGCCACTGCATTCAGACATTGTAAATCACAATCGTAGATATATATATATATTAAGCATCTTCACAATTTCGAATTTTGATACATAGTACTGTTTATACCTCTTTCAGATACAAAGCGTGGCACCACATGGTAAATGGGGCATCCGTTATGCACACTAAATGCACGCAAAGGTTCATCGTACAACTCTGATAAGTCCACGAATACGTATTGATGGAAGAAATCTAGTTCTTCCACAATGAAACACTGAAGTTATATAAAAACAGCTGCGAAACTTTCAAAGATGGATGTGGATGTATAAAAAAAACGTACGTCTATCATTGGAGCCTTTTTAAAATGGAATTCATATTCATTTATCCATAGCGATACAGGCATTTTGGGCAATACTTTGGATAATTCGCGATGGAAGAAAATCTAAACTAATGACATTGAGTATTTCTGAATATAGAAAACACAATTTTTATAACCAAATTTATTCGCTAACGTGAACTTCGAACTTGTTGAAGATTTACCGATAGTCCTTGAAACACGAATGATTCTCCACCAAATTTTACTCGAGTCCGAGTGCCTTCACCAAGTGGGGCAGAGGGTCTTCTAACTTGTAAGACATAGTGATGCAAAGCATTCGCATTACTGAATAAAACTCTTTAAAACGAGGTTATCGCAATGATCTTAAACCTACTCCTGGTTAGGAGTGCAGCTAGGGATTGGAGGAGGAGATAGGAGTTGTAGCACTCCCGACACTTCTCCAGCTTCAGCAGCTAGGTGCAAAGCAGTTTTTCCTGGGCCATTACTTGCGTTAGGAGTGTCTGAAAACACCTTTTTAGCAAAAGAAACAAGGAAGAGACTTGCAAAACTTGTTCGTTTCAAAAGATGCTGAAAAGGCACACATACAGTGTCTGGCAACTTCGAGTTAGGATGTTTTTTCACCCTTTCCAAACCTGTTAGTTCTGTGAATTTAAAGTTGTCCTCAGAGATGCGCTAAACAGCACGCGCACTTCGGTCAAATTGAGTGGAAAGCATTCACATAAATTTTCACACAGGGTCAGACACGCCTTAGATTCGGTATCGTTTAGTCCTCTACTGCATAGCTGGAAACGACCTTTGTAGCTTAAAGCAGACGCGACCGAGACCGAGCTAACATTTTGTCATGAAGCAAATCTCTTAATTAGGAAGTTCTCATATAAGGAAACCAACGAAAAGGAGTACAAATTCTAAAACTGTCGCAGAACAATGCAAAGCATTTCCGAATTATTCAGCTTGCCGCCTTTCTGCATTGTTTACGCATTAGCGCAGAGAGGCGGCAAGATGAATTGTTGGTGCTACCGTAACCCGATATTTTGGCAGCCGCACGATGGATGGTAGGTAATAGAAAAAGCGCTATATCTCATTCTGTGCGGGAAAGTTTTAGATGGAAATCTTACTATGAAGAGAAGAAGGTTTGAGCTGTAAAAACGACATGAAAATTGTAGACATTCGACGTCTTTAAGGGTAAGTTAATGGGGTGCGGCACACCCCCTTAAAAGCTGCGGCGGCCGCAGCTTTTAAGGGGTGTGCCGGACCCCATTAACTATATCAAAAAAACATTTTTAGCGGACAGTGTTTATATGAATCGATAGCCTAAAACTTGTGAATTCCATAGGACTGTTTTGAGCCTGATTCGTCTTCTTAGCTCTGAGTAATATTTGGTGAAAGCACAGCGATCAAAAGCGAAAAATGGGAAAAACGAGATATTGATTGGATTCTAATTCCATAATTTGGAGGTCTTCTGAGCCGGGATTTC